TCTGGGAGTTGAAGTCCACTCATCTTAAAGTGGCCAAGTTTGGACAACACTGCATTAGAGAAAGAGAGATATTCACCACATCCATAATGCACACATATATCCTATATATATTTACACACACACACACACACACACGCCCCGGAAAAGCCATTCTTTTACTAATGACATAGATTAACTATGGATAATCATACAGTACTGTAATGACCTACTCAGTTTGGTTAAGGCATCAGGCTAGAAACCCAGAGAGGGTGAGTTTTAATCCCACCTTAGGCACAAAGCCAGCTGGGTGACCTTGGGCCAGTCCCCCTCTCTCAGCCCTAGGAAGGAAGCAATGGCAAACCATTCTGAAAAACCTCGCCAAGAAAACTGCGAGGACTTGTCCAGGCAGTTGCCAGGAGTCAACACGGACCTGAAGGCACCCCCCCCCACCCAAAATCATCATGATCATGGAGAAAATCTATCCACAGTTAGTCCTTGACTTACGACCAGTTGTTCAGCAACCGTTCAAAGTTATGGCGGCACTGAACGACCCTGCCTGAAGTTGCGGCCATTGCAGTGTCCCCACGGTCATGTGATCAAAATTGGCAGCCTGCCCACACTTACAACTGCAGGGAGGCTTCGACTCCCCCCACCTGCCTATCTCCCCCCATCTATGCCCTTTTAGCCACCTGCCGCCCTGCAGTCCGCCACCCAGCTGACCTTGCCATCTTCTTGCTCCCGCTGCTGATGAGGCGTGCCCTAGGCCACCCATCCCAGTGCCAGCCTAGACTAGGGTGTTGTGTGAATTTGCCCTTATGTTCTGGGTGTACACTGCTTTGTGGAATGATCATCAGCAGAACATCTGCCTATAGAAGGGCTTGGTGGGTGGATAAAAATGCCCGATTGTCTCAACATCTGGCTGTGTGACCAACAATAATAGTAATCTGAACCACCTGGAGGCCTTAGAAGACCCAACCTCTGGTTTATGATGGCCAGATGTTCAGCTGCAGATCTCTCCAAGGGGGCAGGGATGGGACAGATATCCTTTCCTGCAGTTCTGCATCCCAGAGCTTGTGACCCTCTGTACAGTTTAATCCCTATTATTATTACTTATCACCATTCTTAAACTCAAATTACAACATCTCCAGAAAACCTTGCCAAGGAGAAGCTAAGTCAACCTTCCAATAAAAGAGGGTGCCTTAACCTTGGCAACTTTAAGAGGGATGGACTTCAACTCCCAGAATTCCCCAGCCAGCAAGGCCCCAGCCAGCA